ATGGGAAAAACACCCACATAGAGGAACTAACAGCTGCCAGCAGTCCTAGAGCTCAAAATGAGTTTTGCTACCAGAGATTGACGATAAACAATGCATTCATCATAGCCCCAAAACCAGAAAGTACACAAAATAAAGACCATTCTCACTATGGCTTCCTCGGGACAGGAAAGGAGCTAAAAAATACTAACCAAGTGCTATAGATGTCACTATACAGTATGCTGGAGGTGTGGAGAGGAGAAGGTAACGATGTGTCACATTTGGTGGCACAGCTCTCATATTGGAACCTTTTGAAACAACATTTTTTCCATATTCCACCTTATATAAGATTACACAAACCCCACAAATTGCACTTCTTCCTATCCTTCCAGGATCTGTTTCCCTTTGTAAGAAGGGACTTCTCTGTTTCATTGGACATCTAGTGTAGTGGTTGAGAGAAATGTACTATATGATCATGATGGAGAGGCTAATGGCACGACTACATGATAGGCACAAGGTTTATTATTATTAGACTTGATGTTCCTGGCTTCTATATTTGGAAATTCTACGTGATATTTGCAATTAGACCCATACATTGATTAAATTATTTTTTTCACAGGAGGCAATGGGTTCTTGGTTTGTGAGGAGCGACTTCACCCTTTCTCCTTTTTCCAACCTGTTGCACATCTGGTATGTCAGTGCCAGTCTGTCCCTTCTTATGGTTTCCTATTCCTCTTCTCTATTTTTCTTTTATATCCTTTTTCTTCTGAAGTGTTTAGGTACCTATTTTTTCATCTTGGACATCCATGACAACAATCCAACTGGACATATAGCCTGACCTTGACCATAACATCAGAAGAACCTTTGATACTGGACAGTTCTCATCCTGTGCTATGTCTGGAAGGCCAGCAGATCTATTTTACTATGTCTCATATATATTGTATGTTACTGTATCATAATACATGTCATCTTATTTATTTATTGGCCCGGGAAGTCTTGCTACTGTCTACAATTTACCTGTATCTGCTCAATCTTTAAAAAAATGTATTGCATAAAAATGTAGACCACTGAGGCTGGCCAAATTATCAATCAAACTTTGGCTGTTTCCTTCTAAATCAACTAAAATTCAAAACGAGGCTCCAGAGATTTTTCAATCGACTTTTATAGAAGGAACCAGGCGGAACATTGTCGGCTGAACCGTGATAGCACCCAATCAGCTTTCAAACAAATCTATTGCAGCCACCACCTCTAAATACTGGTAATCTGCAATGTATCACTATTTTATTTTTGAAGAGCTGGTATCCATTTTCTAAAATATTTTCGAAGATAGATTTTTTGAAGATGCGTTGATACTTATGAGGTTTTAAAGTGAAACTCCAGTTAAAAAAATAAAAATGAAACAATTAAGAAAAAAAGGATACAGCATATATAATTACTACACAAGTCATTTTGTGATGAAATGTTATTTAAAACGATCTTTCCACTTAAAACTGCATCGGCTGTAATTTTCTAAGACTGTTATAAAAATCCAATGCAATATGGTGACCTGGAGGCATTCCGAACATAGTTGGTGTACAGACTACCCCCAGAAATGTCACTTCCTGCTTTTGTGATTGACTCACATGTTTTGATAGACATCTGCACTAAGATACAAGTAACATTTTAGGCATCCCTTGCAATAGAAATGTCATTTTTGGTGAAGTACTCTCCAATGGTTATTTTCAACTAAAGGGATGCAGACACTGCACTTTTCCTCATTACAACACAGAAAGTCCACCAGCTGATTATAAGGAACACAGACTCTCCCATTCAGGAATCAGTCTGGAAAGGACGTGCTGCAACAAACTCCCGCTTTTTCTTCAGAACAGAAACAGGAATCTGCAACAAGGTTTGTGAAACCTTGAAATGTACATTGTTCACCCAAGGAGATCAATTTTTTTCTCAACAAAAGTGGAGAAACTCTTTAAATTCCTGGTGCCCAACAAGCTCCAGTTTGTTTCAGTGTGTTTTTTAATTGCTCACATGTTACCTGCGGTTTTTGTGTGTCTCAACATGCATTGCGTTAAAGTAGAACTGAAGCCAAAACATTTTTATTTTATCTGTGGATAGAGTAAGGGAGAGTTATAACCCCTTTTTGGCTGTTGGTGTCTCATTTGGGAGATTTACATTCACTTCCTGTCTGATAGCCACAACAGGAAATTCCTCCAAAGTGAAGGAAATCCCTGGTGGTCAGCAGGATCACCAGAACTAGTGGCACCATTGGAAGATTTTCCATCTTTTACTGTCCTGAGGACAACCCAAATGTTGGATTTTCTTTCACTTTCAGTCATATCGGTCACCAGGACAAATAGAGTGGGTGAATTTCCCTAATAGGGACACGGCAAAAAAAACCTGACAGGCGGTCTAATCCACTCTAGCCAAAACTAAATATAAGTTTTGGCTTCAGCTGCACTTTAAAGTCGCCCATAAAAAAAAAAAGGGCTGCCAAAATGGGTGAAAGAATTTGAACATGCACCATTTTTTCCAATGCAGTGCACCACAATGAATAGTAGTGCTTTACTGGGTGTTGTGGAGCAATGCATTGCGTTAGAGTTGCGTTGGGTTAGTGTGCTGGAATGCCATTGAAAATAAATTACACCACACCATGTATCAAACGGATTTCCCGGGACAGTCCCACATCTCTTTCCACTGTCCCAATGATGAGGTGTCTAGAGATACAGGGCTGACCCTATCATCACTGGTTGCTAGGTGCCCGGCAGGACGCAAGCCGCTCTGGCCCACGCAGCTCTTGGCAGCCATTTTTTTTGCTGTGCGTGCAATTGAACACCCACAGTGAACAAAAAAGTGCATATGAAACACACACAAAAAAGTGCATATGAAACACACACAAAAAAGTGCACAAAGGGTGTGTCTAAATGGTCCATCTCTTGAAGAAATAGGGCCAATTCCTGACCCCCCACCCCCCAGGGGTGCAAGGCTCCTGACAGGGGCAAGACACACTTGTCCCCCTGGCCAAAACCAGGCTGACCCGTTCCTCATGGCCAGCTGAAACCTGCCACTAAATATTAGGTTGGGGGGCTCTCCCGGATCGGAGAGGAGGAACCTGATGGCCACACATCCCCCCCGTGACTTCAGGGTAGGTCCAAAGACCCACACCCTCCATCCTGTGGGAGCGAAAAATTACACACATAAAAAGTGAACGTGCACGAACAAGTGAGAAAATTAGTTGGGACCCCACTAGTCACACTAGTGGGGTCCCAAACCCATAAATATTACTCAGGCACCCCTGGGTCGCCACTCCCAAGGGGTACTCTGCACCCCCAACCCATGACCAGATCAGATAGCGCTGCCAGATCCCAGACACAGGGAAGTACACCCGACCCCCACTCTTACGTGTGTGGATGCTCCTTTTGGTTTCCTTTCCACGGCAGGGGCCCTTTAGGTTCCCATCATCTCAGGCAGTGTACTCAACATGTCAGCCATTCCTACCAAAAGGCCAGAATGGAAGCAAATTTCCCCTCCTGAACCCTGAGAAGAACAGCTTTTTTTATTGAAGCTCCATGGTGCATGCTTTGTAAAACAAACCCGTGAACAGAAAACAGTGAACAGTGAAATCACTGCATACAAAGTGCACAAGGGTGCTTTGGTCATCTTCCAAAAAAGAGGGCCACAATATCCCTGAACCCCCCCAGGGCGCAAGGCTCCAGCGGTTAAACCTGGTGGACCTTGATCCTTAGGGACCAGCCGAAACCGGTGCTCCAAGTACTAGGTAGGGGCTCTCCTGAAGAGAGACTCCTGAGAGGTGGAAGGAAAAAGACCAAGGTAAGGCCACAGATCCTCTTCCCAAAATCAGGGCAGGTCCCCGAAAGACGTGCAGCCTCCGTCTCTGAGGAGTGAAAGTGCTCATGCAGAAAAAGTGCTATAAAAGGGTGCCATGTGCAGTGCATGGCAGGCCTTTTTTCCAGTATAAACATTTCTGCAGACTAGCCAGAAGGCCTGCCTCGTAGGTGTGTAAGAAAAGCAATAAAAATGTGACATGATCTAGTGCTAGTGCCACACTTGTGGGGTCCCACACCCACCTGTGTTTCTCCAGCACCCCTGGAATGCCAACCCCAGGGGGCACATCACCCGGAGCTTTTCACCTTTCCAGCCCTTTGGCCAGACAGGAGCAGCTCCATTGCAACCAGAAGGCTTTAGCACGGGATTTCTGCCTACAACCGGGGACAAGCCTGGTGCACCAGGCCAGAATCAGCCCCGGGAGGAAAAGAAAACCCCTCCAGTACCCACCTATGACTCCAGAGGGTACTGACCTGCCATCCAGAGACAGCACTGTTCTCGCCCCCTACCATCTGGCCACCCCCCCAGTGAGATGCTACTTGAGGCAACCACCTCAGGCTGCCTCATTATAGGTACGGCTCTGCAGAGATCACAGCATTACTCTTCCATGCACAAAAACCAGAAAAGGTTATTAGCCAAGGGGCTCATGACCAGCATAGTTAGGGGTCTGACCACCCAAAAAGTTGGTGTGATGCGGGTGAGAACACCCAAGAAGTGGGCTTATGAAGCATTGGGCCGCCGGCAGGGGGTGACAGGATCCTGGGGACTGGGATGAAGATGTTGGTAAGCATGATGCAATGTATGTTAACACGTGCGTTCCCACAATGCACTGCACTGGAGAGGTATGCATGAGCCCTAAAGCTGATAATTCCATTTAAGGGGTAAATGTGCAGCATAATCATCTTCAGAGACAAAGAACACCGCCCTTCTACTCTACAATGAATATCCCAACCAATCTGCCACATTGATCTCCCTTCATGAGCCATCCATCCACTGGAGAGGCTCCTTTCATTGTAGGTAACCCTTTGTGTGCCGAGTCATGTGACACACTTGTGGCTCTCCATAGAAATATTAACATATTGCAACACACTGCTCCCTCCTAACCTACAGTCATACCGGTGTACCGGGAGCGTTTGATACGCCCCTTATGCTAATATCAGCAGCACAACGGCCTTCGATTGGCTGGTGCCTTGGTAGAGGCGTCAATGCGAAGTTGCCAGGTCCGGGGCTCCGTTGTCCGGGTTGTGCAGTAAGGAAGAGATGTTGGGAGGCTAAGGATCGCAATATATGTGTGGACTGGACCGGGGGGATCTGTTCCACTGGCCTGGGGAGCTCTCCATGTCGGGGGCCAGGTCTGAGGACACCATGGACAAACAGATGGCTCGCTGCAAGATAGTGGTGGTCGGTGATACGCAGTGTGGAAAGACAGCTCTGCTCCACGTCTTCGCTAAGGACTGCTATCCAGAGGTAGACCTACTATCGTACAATCCCGTCCTGTCCTTCCACAGTCTATAGTCACCCCAGGGATCAATGTTCCATGGATCGGATCGGACCGGACACAGTCATTTCTATCCTCACTAGTGTCAATGAGTGGAAGGATGGAGTGTCAGCTGCTGGGGAACAATGGTTTAAAGTGTGCAGACCAGATCTCCTTTATTAGCAACATTGACTTCTGATTGGCTCTTACCAATGCGACTATCGATTATCTATCTATCTATCTATCTATCTATCTATCTATCTATCTATCTATCGTATTCTTTTTTATGCATTATCTATTTTTTTTCTATCTGTTCTTTCTATCTCTATTTATCCATTTATTCTCTCTGTCCATACTTTTTCTATCTATCTATCTATTCTTTATATCTATGTATTCTTTTTATGCATTTTATATATATGTGTATATATATTTCAATCTATTCTCTCTATCTCTATCCAGTTATTCTCTCTGTCCATACTTTATCTATCTATCTATCTATCTATCTATCTAGATGGCTTACTTCCCCCAAATTACCCCATCATTCCTTAGAACCAATTAGGGTTGTGTGCTTTTGCTTTTTGACAGCACTTCCTTCTGTTGTCACAAGCCTATACCTTGACCCTCCAGTTTTCTGTAAAGGTTCTATGGATTTTATGTTGTAGAAGAATTTTCTAAATAATAACTTAATGGGTTAACGCTTATTTCCGGTATATTGTAAACAGAACTCTCATTTCACATCAGATTGTTTGGGGGGCCCTGTTATTGTTTGGTCCCAGGCTGGATCTCACGTCTTCACCCAACCTGGTGTCCTATGTTGGTTTTTAGTGACATACAGTGGTTGTAAACAGTTCCATACAGATGATTCCATATGGGCTGTGGGCAGTTCATTCCTTGGTTAGATCTCCCGTCTTCTGGTGTCCTATGTTGGTTTTTAGTGATGTACAGTGTGATTTTACACAGGGCTGTATACAGAGCTTTGACCAGTTCATTCCTTCTTTGGATCTTCTGTCTTCTGGTGTCCTATGTTGGTTTTTAGTGATGTACAGTGTGATTGTATACAGAGATGTGACCAGTTCATTCCTTCTTTGGATATCCTGTCTTCTGGTGTTCTATCTTGGTTTTTAGTGATGTACAGTGTGATTTTACACAGGGCTGTATACAGAGCTTTGAACAGTTCATTCCTTTTTCGGATCTCCTGTCTTCTGGTGTTCTATGTTGCTTTTTAGTGATATACAGTGTGATTCTATGCAGGGCTGTGAGCCGTTCATTTCTTGGTTGTATCCACACTGGGTTTGGATTAGGGCTGCAACTAATGATTATTTGCATAATCGATTAGCTGGCCAATAATTTTTTCAATTACTCAGATAAAAAGAAAATTAAATACATACCATCCATAATTTAAAATAAAATAGACAAATGCAGTGTTACAAACATAAAGTTTACTTCAAAATAAAACTGCCTGCACAATTTTTTTGTAATCACACTGCACTGGAACGCACGGCATTGCGGCAATGTGCATTCCAGTGCGGGGCATCACACTGCAGGTGGGAGGCGCATTTGGGGTGCCATTGAAATAAATGGCAGTATGGCGCTTGAATATCTTCAGCCAGGGAATGGTAGCTGCCAGTGGCATGATTCAGCAGATGGCAGCTGACTGTAAATACAGCAGGTAGTGGGCTGGTGCAATAGCCAATAGCAGGCTTGTTATTACATCTGCACACTGCTTGCTGTGCCCCCCTCCCAGCGTGGAGGAGAGAGCTATGGGATCCAACCAACTAATCGATAATGAGAATAGTTGACAACTATTCTCATTATCGATTATTATTGATTAATCGATTAGTTGGTTGCGACCCCAGTTTGGATTGGCACTTTCAGTCCAGTGTGTTGGTGGAAAACTTCTTATAATGTGATGTACTGAGTGCATTCGATGTACAGTGACATTGCATAGTTATGGGTCATATGAGCCAAAGTAACTGAGCCGTTTTGGCGAAATAAAACAAAGGTTACATTGGAAAGTTCTAAATATAATCCACTGAGATGGGAACTGAGAAAATGTAAGCAGGGATTTCGTAGTCGCCTATTGTTCTCTAGAATCCTAGTCATGTCAATAGTAGGGTGATCCTAAAAAACAATAAGTGTAATCCCATAGTGCCCATGCAGATCTTTATAAAGGATTTCTATAGGACAGCCTTTATCAAATGTTTTACCCCAGAGGATCCCTTGAAGTAATTTTTAGGTTTCAGGGAACCTCTGCTAAAACAAATTCATTGAAGGTCAGTGGGTAATGTCCCTTACATTGGTGGTCAGTGGGAAGAATGCCCCCTTACAGACAGCTAAAAAATCCATTGGTGTCCTACAGTTGGCTTTGCCAAGTAGCATTGACACCGGAACTATGCAGTCACCATCAAATGGGAGGTCACTTGTTCACAGATCAAGGGACCCTCTAGTCTGGAGGAACTAGAGTTCCAGTCAACCCTGGTTGAGAATGGATGCTATAAAGCATGCCAATCTCATCTCCCTTGTGTGCATAATTCATTAAAGTGACCTTTCCTCGAGTAGAGATATGCTGTGCTGTTTAATGCTATAGACTCTTCAGGTGTAATTAGAACCTCACTACTCCAAAGCAGGGTGAAACCTTCAACCACAAGTCTTGCAGTGCAGTTGTATAGCTCAGTGAATGAATTAGATGCAAAATATATTTGTGTTGTCTGGTTTACAACCACATTGCATGAATCTTAGTGTGAGATTAGCATAAAAACTGCCTAAACTATTTTGGGAAGTATGTCTTCACAGAAGCTTTCTGATACATGGGGTTACTTTTAGATTTATATTGTACCTTTGTCTCTCTTTGTTTTGTAAAATTTAGAACTGTTGTCACTTTATAAATCCTGTTGTTGTTATTATTATTATTATTATTATTCTTCATTGTTGCTTCATTGTAGTGGAAAGCTTCCTACAATGCTGACCTTGACCACTAGGAGCGCTGTTCATTGACAGTTCTCATCAATGGCAGAACAATTTATAATCCTGTTTCTTCTGTTTGGTCATTAACCTTTTTCAGATCCTTATTTTTGTCAGCGTAATAGACGACAGTGGTCTGATAAAACATTAGTATTCTAGGGTGGGAGAAGGGACAGTTTGGTTGTAGAGAAAACATGAGCCTCTAAATAGAGCTGACCATGAAATCATTTTTGCTTGTTGTTTTTGGCCAGAACTGGTTACAAGCTCATGCGTTGCTTCATCAGGTACCTCTGACCAAATTGATTAGCATTACCATGCGCTGCTAAAGCAACCCATGCATTCACATATGAAATTAAACTGGACAAAAAGGCCTGTTCATGTGAGATTTTCACTGTCCATGGTATTCCTGTCCTGGAAGATTTCACTATGTACCGTATGTTTCATAACACTTCAGATTTATTCAGTGTTTCGATTGCGTTGGCTTGCTACATACAAATGCCACTTTTCCTGCTTGTCTGTCTGGGCCACGAAGCAAATGAAACCCATGGCACAGCATTTCTCCCTAACTCTGCCCGGATGCTGCGTGTAGGTTTTCTGTGTGGATGGAATTTGCCAGCAACAAACACAACAGCCAGGGTTTTGTTTTAAACACTGCACTTCCACTTAGTTCAGACATAATTCTACAGCATGCATCTGCCATCAGCCGTGTTCTACATATTTAGTGTAATAGTGTAACCTTTATTACAATGGCTGTGTATGTCTACCTTTTAGGACATGTTTATACCAGCTGCCTTAAGCAGCGCAGTCCCAACACAAAGACCATGCCATTTGCCTTGCTTACAATTGGCACAGTTCGCTTTGTGACACTTCAGTAAAGTTCTGACAAAGATAACATTACAGTGCATTGTGTTGGCAGCACAGCCTTGACAGAGCACACCAGTGGCAGCGTTCTGATACAGCTGCTGGTGTGAATGGACCCATAGACCTCATTCACACGGGGCGGCCTGGGATTTCTGCAGCAAGAACCTATGGATCCCTGCGGTAGGAATCCTAGGTGGCCTGTTCAGATGTGGCCGCTGTGCTCATTCAAGTTAATGACAGCTGGCACATCTGTTAGCGGCAGCCCGCATGTGATCATACATGGTATAAATGATTGTCCCTGGATGCAGGATAGATGCGCCCAGCAACAATCATCTATCCCAAACCGGTAATTGTACCATGTCTTTCCATTTTCATTACATATGCATTTTTTTAGTCCAGTGATGACATCACTTCTCTATGCCATGCAGGCATATGATGGCTGATACAAGGGGCTAGCTATACATGGCTTCCTGAAATGATCCCAGCACCCGGCCTCAGTACTTCTCTCCAGAGCCCCCAGATGTGAATCAAGCAGTGGGTTGTTTTTTGGGAAGAGTTATGAATGCTGAACACATGGCCACTGGTCTGCATTGGCAGGAATAGTGCTTATGTGCCAATCCTGGTGCGGCGTGATGTTATTTTTAGCACACAGAAAGGCAGACTGAAAGAAAGGCAAATTGCCTTGTGTTTGTGTTGGGACTGCACTGGGCAAGGCTGTGCATGGGGTGTGAACAGTCCTGGCTTTTATTGAAAATGTATTTCAAAAAGTATAACAAGGCCAGACTAGCTTATGGAGAGGTGCGCTTAAAATGAACGTTTATCCTGCTAAAATCCTCCGTTCATGTTGCCGGAGAAACCCCAAAACCACTATCTTCTGGTGCTCTGGGGGTTACCACCAGCAAATATCAGTGTGGTAGAGTTACGCCACTCGCCTGCCCCTTCCTGCCCTCTGGTCCATTCATAGAGCTATTATTGTTCCACAATGCATTATGCTCTGTGAATGGGCAGGGCAGATCCTGTCATTCATCTGCTCCTCCTCCATTCAGAGTGTGTTGCACCGTGCAACACACTCTGTGAATGGAGGAAGGGACAGGCAAGCAGCACAACTCTATCACACTGATAGTCTCAGATGTTAGCCCCCAGAGCACTGAAAGAAAGGTAGTCAATT